GTCTCCTGAAAGATGAGGTGAGCATTTGGGATTGGACGGGTGATATTCCAAGAATACAAATTTTTATGAGCAAAGACATGGAGGGTGCAGAGTATGTTTCAGGGGTTAATTGTGGTCCATTTGGGTTGTCATTAATATGTTGAGAAACATCATTAAGCTTGCTTTAATTTGTTCTTGGTCAACTTTGTTACTTGTACACAAATGAATTTTTTCAAAAAATCTTGGGGCCCAAAATATATAAGATAAAATAGATTAAATTTCCTACTTTATGTAGTATTGAATGTTCGAACAACTTTGAAAATAAAAGAAATCTCCCGTATCAATACAGCAGGGAAAAAATGAGAGCAGCAGCTGTCCCTTCAGAGTTTAATGTCTTCAGAGGGTATTGATGGAACTAATTAAGAAAAAACAGAGGACCTAGAATTAAATTATTTCTATTCTAAGAGTGTTGAGAAGTAATAGTAATGTGGAGTACACTAGCGTACAAAAAAAATAAGGGAATGGTTACTATATTTCATAATTGGGGTATACAAGAAGAGTATACAAACATGGAGGAAGATAAGGGGGGAGTCAGTATTAGTTGAGCTTCATTTTTACATAAACTAGACAAACAAGGGTTTATCACACATACGTATACTCTAAGATACAAAGAGTTAGGTTTAAAAATATGTCAGTTCTCCTATAAATGCTTATTTTCAAAATAAGAATTTGTTCCAACATGATTGATTTATTAGGGATTGATTCTGTGAGAAACAGAAAACACAAAAAACTGCACTCAGTTGAATAGAGCTGAATGAATACACAAAACATACAAAGGCACACACCTTCAACATCTTCCGGCTGCCTCATGTTATCCTACAAAGTTGTATTTCATTATTCTTTTACGTTTGTGAAGTGTTCCATATATTAACAGAAATACTTATCCAACATCCTAAATATGTTTAAGTGCACTATTTATTGTACATCTTCTGGTGCAGTAGGAGTTATGGGCAGAGGAGGGCTGGTTCATACCCACAAACTCCACCACAATCCATTGATACCACACATGTACCTTTCTCCATGGTTGAGTTCTTCCCATCTTGCCCATAGCCATGGACTTTAGCAGCTGAGTCTCATAATAACCATGGAGCAGGCCCACAGCAGCCCAAGGCCATTAATGCTACTACTATTTATTTCACTAGTTATGTATTTCTTAACCATTTAACCTGTAGGGGTATATGGGTGTGAGGGAAAGCTAGTACCTCTAACATGAGGTCTGCCAAGCCTTTTTCAGGGCTGCTCATCTACCTGTGGTGTCACCTGCCACCCAACTTTTATCTGTGGTTCCAAGAAGCTTTAGCATATGCAGTGGCCACACACTGGTAGACCATTTCAGTAGATAGGCTAAGACAGATTGATGGTAACCAAAAGGTCTCAAATCTGTCAATTAGTTAGGGAGGTATCCATCCCAAGCATATGAAGATTTCCCCCAGTGGAATGGGTGGGTATGAACGATTTGTTCCAACAGGTCACGAAGGTGGTGGAATCAGGCTCTGTGGAATGCTTAGAGCTTAGTTAGATATTGAGGATGCCAAGATCATCCACTGTATCCTGGGCTATCACCAGTCATCTTGATTTTTGTCCTGCCACTGGAGTCCAATGACTCTGGAAGAGAGAGTAAGGCCAACAACTTTGCACAAGTCTGCCTCACTTAAATCCAGTTTATGTGTGAACCAGAAGACATCACGCATACCATTTTACCATTTTTACTGACCTCAAAATCCTGTGGTGACAGGCAAATGATGGAGCAATAGGTATGGAAATATTGGGATCTGTAGTCACAACCCTGTACAAAGGCAACTCAGGCCATAGCATTGCCTTCTCACTGGACTGAAACAGCAGCGGGATTCAAAAGCCCCCTGGGCATCTGCGCAACCATTTCAAAGGACCACATTGCTCAGCTTCTGGCATGAGGAAGGAACTAGACAAGGTGCCCTAAAAATTGTCTGTTTCACTCAGCCCTCACCTGCTTACCACAGCAGATGGGGATCAAAAGACAAAAATAAATGTGCAAAAACTTTTGCAAAGATGATTCCACTCAATATTGACACATGCTTATGGACAACACAAAATCCAGTAAACTTGAAAGACATCCAGCTCTTGTTGTGAGAGAACTTAGCAGGTATCACATCAAAATAGCAGTGCTGAGTGACACAAGGCTGGCAAATGATTTTGGATTACCAAAGTCAGAGCTGAATATATGTTTTTTTCTGGAGTGGCCACAGTGATGCAGAGCACCATGAAGCTGGCATAGGTTTCACAATCAAATCTAATCTAGTCAACAAGCTTGTATGCCTTCTAAAAGTAGTGAATGATAGACTCCTGACAATGTGGTTGCACTTGCAGAAAAGCACTGTGCCACCATCACCAATATGTTATGTTCCTACTATGAAGAACCCTGATGAAATCAAAGAAAAAATTTATGAAGATCTGGAGACTCTCAACATCAGTGTGCAAAAAGAGGACAAACTTGTATTCTGAGTGACTTTAAAGCCAGACTACGCACAGACTATCAGGCATGCCAGCTAGTCCATGGGAAGAATGGAGTTAGAAACAGTAACACTAATGGCTACTTACTTACTACTGAAGACTTGTGTGTCTCATGAACTTCTCATCAGCAACACTGACTTCCGTTTACCTAAATGCAATAAAACTTCATGGATGCATCCTAGAAACAAACATTAGCATAATAGGTTATGTCATTTTAAGGAGAAGAGACAGACAAGATGTGAGAGCAATGAAGGCAATATGTGGCACAGAGTGCTGAACTGATCATAGACTTATCCTCTCTAAGCTAAACATTGGCATTCTGTAAAATGGTGACCCCAAGGTAAGACAAGTACCAGAAGACTTAATGTCAATAGATTACAGTAATTCTTCCAGCATGAATAGTTTGTTACTGACTTGGAGGGAAAGCTGAACCAACACATTGTTGGCCAACAGTGGAGCAGAAAAGGAGTGGGAAACTTTCAAAGGTTTGACGTACAGCACCATGTTTACTCATCTAGGCCAGATCACTCACAAACATCAGGATTGTTTTTGATGAAAATAATGGTGAAATTGAGAAGCTGCTAAACAAAAAACAAGCAATCCCCAGGATTTACCACCAGTATAGTATGCCTGTCGTTATGATGCAGCATTTAACACCATCAAAAATAAAGTGTAAGTGAAGCTTAATAATATGCAGAATTCTTGGTTCAGTAAATAAGCAGATTACATTTGGTTTTATGCTGATAGTAACAGTCCAAAGCACTCTTATGATACCTTGAAGACTATTTGTGGGCCCAAGACCTATGGTGCATCTCAACTACTCAGTGCTGATGGAACCACATTGATTAGTGATAAGGACATGATCTTGGGGAGATAGGCTGAACACTTTCATAGTATTCTTACCAGACCATCATAAATCAATATTGAAGCCATTGACCATATGTATACCTCAGGTTGAAATCATTCACTTTCTAGCCAAACTTCCTACTGAAGAAAAGATTTTGAATACCATTAGGCTCCTCTTGCATGGCAAAGTGCTTGGTACTGATTATATTCCAGCTGAAATTTACAAGGCAGGAGGTCCAGTGCTCATACAAAAGCTGACTGAAATCTTCTCGGTTATATGGCAAGAGGAGGATATCCCCCATGAGATCAAGGATGCCTCCATTGTCTATCTCTATAAAGAAAATAGAAAGAGATTGTCCTGTTACAATCATAGGGTGGGAAAGGCTCTCTCTTAGTCATTGCCAGCAAGGTTCTTGCTATAGCCCCTCCTTAAGAGTCTGATCCTTCTCCTGGAAGATGGTCATCTACCCCAAGAACCAGTATGGTTTCAAAAAGGACTGAGGAATGATTGATACGGCGTTTGCTGCCCAACAACTCCAGGAGAAATGCCAGGAACAGAATAGAGCTCTGTACACAATGTTCACTGATTTGACCAAGCCCTTTGATACTGTCAGTTGTAAGGGCTTGTGGAAGATCATGGCAAAATTTTGTTACATGAAGAAGCTTAGCAGTATCATAAGTCAGTTTCATGATGATATGCTTGCCCAGGTTCTGGATAAGGGACAATGCTCTCACGCTTTCCCAGTCACCAATGGAATGAAGTGAGATTGTGTGTTTGCTCCCATGCTTTTTATCATAATGTTTTTAGTGATGTCATTAGACACCTTCAATGAGAATGAAAATGGCATCATGGTCAACTACCACACTGATGGTAAATTATTTAATTTGAAAAGGCTACAAGCCAAGACTGCAGTGGAGGGAGAGTCTGTGCATGAGCTAAAAAGATGTATGCTATCTTCTAAAAGGGAATTTTAAAGAATAAACATTTCTAAACACTACATGGCACCTTTGCAAAAATAGATCACGTACTGTGGCAAAGAGAAATTACAAATATAAAAAAGAAGAAACAATAAGCCCTTTATAGATCAAAATTCAATAGAAATAGTAAACAGTATAAAGATCATAAGCCAAAAATACAGACCTAAATGGAGATTTAATAATAGAATCATGAACCATGAGTGGGTCAAAGAATAAATCAGAGTATCAATTTAAGAACTTTGTAAAAGACAATATTTTTGGTGAGACAATATACCAAAATTTCTGGGATGTAACTAAAGCAATTTTCAGTGAAAAACTTATATTTCTTAAAAACATACATTAACAAAGTAAGGGGAAAGAGGATTAATGAACTTAATTTGAAATTTAAAAAAAAAAATAGAAATCCGACAAATAATCCCAAAATAAGCCAAAGAAAAAGGAAAAAATTACAACTGGTAAAGAAATAGATAACTTGGAAACTATAAAGAATGTTGAACTAGTAAACAAAACTAGTAAACTTAGAAACTATAAGGAATGTTGAACTAGTGAACTTAGAAACTATAAAGAATGTTGAACTAGTAAACAAAACTAAAAGCTGGTTCTTTGAAAGAACTTTAAAAAATGGGCAAACCTTTAGCCAGCCAAAAGAGGTAGAAAAATCAAATTATAAAATAAAAAGTAAAAAATGAACAAGGCAAAATCACAACATACAGAGAAGAAATTTTTAAAATTTAAAAATTATTACAAATGATAATATGAAAAAATGATTTAAAAGAAGATTTTCTCCTTTGACGCTGCCACCACCCTGGGGCAGGCTCTCATCACTTTATGCCTTGATTATTGCAGTAGCCCACTGATTGGTCTTCCTGCCTGTTCCAATCCATCATCCATTCAGCCAGTGTTATGTTTAAAAATTAAGGTAAGCAGAAACAATTATCTGAGCATGATCAGTTTATTATTTAGGCTAGTAATAACCCATAAATTGCATCAATGGCCTCTCTCAATGACCAAAGACCCCTAGGTAGGGCTTAGCAGCCTTGTCCCTTGATATCAGGTTGGTGAGGTGGGGAAATTGTTCAAAATCTCTGATGAGGGGATAATAACCAACTTATAGCCAACAAAAACATACAGAAATATCCTACAACAAATCACTATATGACTCTTGGCTCAAAGGGCCATTTGCATTGGACCATCCTCATTGGTGAAGATTGATTGCTTGGTGCTCCATGCCTACATGAAGGGTCGAATTGGTCAGAATTAGGAGAGAAGAGAGCCTCTGGTCTTCTGACTTCCAGCTTCAAGAGAGAAGACATGGTTTCAGACTCTCTTCAGGTCCCTGAAGGGAGAGAAGGATTCTAGGAAGAAGCTAACATGGGCCAAGTGTTAGCTTCTCTACATGGCAGCTTCTTTCCAGTCTTTCTCTACTGGTATACTCCTATGCATACTTTCTCTGGGTTCTGTTTTGCTATGACTTGGGATCAATGAGTTTCTTTGCTATTCACTTTGGTGTGTTCATTGTGGAACTAGTATTTGATAGGAAAGGGGTCAAATCTTGTATATAGAGCTTGGGGTCCCCCTCCCCTCAATAATAAGAAACAGTGATCAGAAATTGGATTGAACCCAGGAATAACTGACTGACTATCTGCTGCTTGATGTGACTTTCTGGCTATGGATTTCCCTGGCTCTTGGATATACCTGTTCTTCTTCTTTGTCTAGATCTCTCACTTTAGTGCATACTTTCAATGCTCTGGCCCAGTTCTGAGTGTTTTCATGCTTTTTCTACCTGTTTCTCATTTACTGGCTCTTTCTGATACTCTGTCACTTTTTATCTAGATTTGTGCCTTTCTTCTCCTTTTCCTTTTACTGTCTCATCTTCTCTCCCACTACCCCCTCTCCTTCTTCCTCTCCCTGTCTCTTCCTGGGTATCTATACCTGGATGATAGCATTGCTGCCATCATCCTTAGTGTTCACTCCCACCTAAAAAAATTAGATAAAGTAAAAACAAAATTAAAATCCTTGGCTTTCAACCCTAGGATGCCAGCTTTTGATAGATAAACTTTGTCCTTTTTCTTGCCCAGAACCAGACATCCATGCCACTTCTGAACCATATACATGGCATGCTGCCTCCCCTTCTTGCCCCTTTCCAACCTCCCTTTGTATGTTATCTTTCTATTTTAGAATGTAAGCTTGACTACTTATATTTGTATCCCCAGCCCTTAGCACAATGCTTGACACATAGTAAGCACTTAATAAATGTTCTATGCATTTCTTCAAAATAGAAAAATTGTGGCACAATGTAAATTAGGTGATTTTTGTAGATTTTGTTCACACCTGTGAACAAAACAGTGAATCTCGGTTAATAGTACGGAAGCCAGATGTTTGTTTGTTTTTTTTTACTTTTCGGTGAGTTGTTTGGTGCCACTTAATGAAAATGTAATCATACATATTTGTGTTCAAGCAAGCCTGGTAATCAACCATTTTTATGACAAAATCGTGGTTTGTATACTCAGTTTTAAACTGGAATTCCTGAGAATTATCCTGGAGTAACTTTCTGCTCTCTGTCTTTCCCGTAGATATGGTCAAGAAGCAAGTGGATAAGGAAAAATTAAAAACTAAGGGGAGAGTGGACACAACCAAAGGGACAAGCCACCAGTGGAGAGAGGAGGTGATGGAGTCAAGGGCTCAAGTAGAGAGAGTTGTCACTGCCAAGGTGAAGAGAGACTTCTCTCTCTGGACACTGGGATAGAGTGGGGGAGAGCTGGGGAGTAGGGGTGATAATGAGGTGACTTGAAGCATAAAATTTGAAAGGACCTTGCAAAATTTGAAATAATAAAAATCCATTGAATTAATGAATAAACTGTAAGCTGGTTTGGAGGGAAATAAAATAGGTAAATCACTAGCTAGTTTGACTCTTAGGAAAATAGAGCAAATCCTAATTACTAATATCAAAAGTGAAGTAATGATGATTCAAAATAAATGAAAGAGAAATGAAGGAAATAATTTATATTTCTTTTGCAGTATGCCAATAAAACTTCAATTTAAATAAAATTAGTATTACATAAAAACAAAATGCCCAGAATGACAGAACAAGTTAAAGAGAACTTAACTCAATATTAAGAAAAGAAATTGAACAAACTAAATGAATTTCCAAAAGAAAAAATCTAGGACCAGAGAATTTACAAGAAAATTCTATCAGACATTCAAAGAACAATTTATTATTCAAAATCATTTTATTTTGTTAATTACATATAAAATTACATGTAATTTATATGTACATAATTTTAACAATTATTTTTTAAAATTCTGAGTCCCAATTTCTCTCCCTCCCTCTCCTACTCTCCTCTCCTTCAGAATGCAAGCAATTTGATATCAGTTATACATGTGAAGTCATGCAAAACATATTTCTATATTAGCCATGAAGAATAATTATTTTCAATATTACATGAACGCATTGCAGAAATGGAAACATAAGGGATACTATTCATTTCCTTCTATGATACAAATATGATCTTGATACTTAAACCATGGAGGGATAAAAAGGAGAACAAAAAAATGATAGACCAATATAGACCAATGAATATTGAAGCAAAAATTTTAACTAAAAGGTTATAGCAAGAAATTTTAAAAATACTAGGACCAGGTGAAATTTATGCCAGGAATGCAGGATTGTCTCACTATTAGTGTATATGTATCAATCAATCCATAAACATTTATTAAAAACCTACTATATGCCAGGCACTACATTAAGCACTGGGGACGCAGAAAGAGGCAAAATACCTTTCCTACCCTCAAGGAGCTTAACACTCTAATGGGGGAGAAAACAGGCAAACAAATGTATACAAAGCAAGCTATAGTCACGATAAATAAGAAATAATTAACAAAGAGATAGCACTAGAATTAAAGGGGGTTGGGGAAGACTTCCTGTAGAAAATGAGATTTTAGATGGGACTTAAAGAAAACCAAGGAGGTAAGTAGGCAGAGTGAAGGAGGGAAAACATTGCAGGGATGGGGACAGCCAGAGAAAATGCCTAGAGCTGAGAGATAGAATGTCTTGTTCATGGAACATCCAGGAGACCAGTGTCACTGCAAAGAGTGTATGTTGGGAAAGAAAGTATGAGAAGACTAGAAAGGTTAGGTTATGAAGGGCTTTGAATGCCAAACCATTTGAATACCAAATCCATTTTGGATTTAATCCTGGAAACAATAAAGAGCCAATAGGGCTTATTGAGTAGGGGTGTGATGTGATTGGACCTGCACTTTAGGAAAATCACTTCATTGGTTCAATAGAGGATAGATTGGAGAGGAGAGAGACTTGAGGCCAAGAAATGTACCAAGAGGCTATTGTAGTAGCCCCAGCATGAGGTGATGAGGGTCAGCACCAGAGTGGTGGCAGGGTTAGAGGAGAGAAGGGGACATATTCAAGAGATGGTCGAAAGGTGAAATCAATAGGCCTTGGCAACAGATTGGATATAGGGAATGAGAGATGGTGAGGAGTCCAAGATCCTAGATGGTGAGCCTGAGAGACTGGGAGGGTGGTATTGCCCTCTACAGTAATAGGGAATGTAGGAGGGGTAGAGGGAAGGTTAAAGAGAAAAAATAAATGAGTTCTATTTTGAACATCCTAAGTTTAAGATGTCTACTAGATATCCAGTTCGAGATGTCTCAAAAGTAATTAGAGATGTGAGATTGGAGGTCAGCAGAGAGTTTGGGACAGGATAGGTACAAATGAGGATCATCTGCATAGAATTGGTCATTAAATCCATGAGAACTAATGGCATCACCAAATGAAGAGGGACCAGGACAGAATTCTGACGGACACTTGTGGTTAGAGGGTATGATCTGGAAAAGGATCCAGCAAAGGAGACAGAGAAGGAATGGTCAGAAAGATAGGGCAACAACCAGGAAAGAGTGGTATCCTGAAAATCTAGTGAGAAGCAGGTATGAAGGAGGAGAGTGTAGTCAGCAGTGTCAAAGCTTGCAAAGAGATCAAGGAGAATGTGGGTTGAGAAAAGGCCATTAGATTTGGTTACTAAAAGATCATTAGTAATTTTGGAGAGAGCAGTTTCAGTGGAATGATAAGGTCAGAAGCCAGATTGTAAGGAGTTAAGGAAGGAATAAGGGGAGAGAAAGTGGGGACATATATTATAGGTGGCCTTTTTGAGCAGTTTAGCTACAAAGGGCAGAAAAAAATACAGTATAATAGTTAGAGTTAGAAAGGTCAAGTGAGAGCTTTTTTTTGGGATGGGGAAAACATGTTTGTAGGTAATAGTGAGAGAGGAGTGAAGGAGGAGAAAGTGGCAGAAAGCATCTGAATGATGGGAGATGAAAAAGAGGGGAAAAGAGGGAGTTTCTCAAAAGTGTTCCAACTCCCCTGCCTCCACCAGTGAGCTGAGGGCAGTAAGTAAAGGTGTAGCCAGTACTGGAAAGTATGGGAAGGGAGAGTTTAACCTTAGCAGGGAGTCAAGTTTCAGAAATAACTAGTAGGTTGAAGAAGTTCTAAGAGAAAAAGGATTAAGGGGCAGCTAGGTGGCGCAGTGGATAGAGCACTGGCCCTGAAGTCAGGAGGACCTGAGTTCAAATCCGGCCTCAGACCAAACACTTGACACTTACTAGCTGTGTGACCTTGGGCAAGTCACTTAACCCCGATTGTAAAAAGAATTAAGATGAAGGGAAGTTTGTTGCCTGAGGAACAGGCATTCCAGAGGGCACAGCGGAAGGACTGGGTGATGTTTGAAACTTTGGAGTAGGAGAATTGAGTAGGGTGGGAATGAGAAATCAAGTGGAGGGGATGGGGAATGAGCTTTGGCCGGTGATCTATAGGGCTTCAGAGATACTGGGATGAAGAGTATGAATTGGTGAAAGAATGTCCATCATTGAGTAAAGGACACCAGCCCTTTTCCCAGCAGAATTTGGAGATCAGGCTGGAGGCAAGTGCAATATGAGAAGGGAGGACCCACTTTACGACTCCTCTTTCTTCCAAAGGCTGAAGATTAAGTAAGAAAAGGGTGCAGCTAGAGATGGAAGTTGAACCTGTATAGCAGGAGAAGGAAGGCCTGACAAGTCAAAGGGTAGGTTGTTCCTCTTTGCATCATAGATTCTCCACAACTGGGTTGTGGAGATTGGGCTGGCATCAGGAGGTAGAAGTGGTGCTGGCTACGCAGATGGAAGTTGTTGCTTAGGAGAGGTGGAAGATGCCTGGCCTGGCCCCTTGTAGCCCTTCCTCTGAGGACATGCTGTGCCCGGAAGGAAATGGAAGACATAAGGCACTCCTGTAATTTGAGAAGCTGTGGGGAGTTGGCTATGAGGCAGCAACAGGAAGTGGTAAATTCCCTTCACAGGGGGAGGTCCTTTGGGCAGATGGAAGCTGCCTGGCCTGGCCCCTTGTAGCCTCCCCTCTGGGGGCATGCTGTGCCCAGCAGACTATATGTATGTGTATGCATGTGCCAAGACACACAAAGGAACTCTATAAATACAACTGCAAAACATTCTTCATAGAAATAAAGACATATCTCAGTAAGCGGAGAAATACTACTTGCTCATGGCTAGGCTGAGCCAAAACAATAAAAATGACAGTACTATCTAAGTTAATTTATTTATTCTGTGCCATGTCAATCAGACTGCTAATGGATTACTTTATGGGGGAGGGGGGAAATTCATCTTGGCAAAAAGTTAAGAATCTCAAAGGAAATTTTTTAAAAAGTGGGAAAGAAGGAGGCCTAGCATTATTAGCCTAGACCTCAGGCAATAATTATCAAAACTAATTGATACTGGTTAAAAAATAGAGGTCCATCTGAAACAGATTATATATACAACATACAGAAGCAAACAAACTTAGTGGCCTACTGTTTGATAAATCCAAAGTCCCTAGCTACTGGGATAAGAACACATTATGTGATAAAAACTGTTAGGAACACTAGAAAACAGTCTGGCAGAAATTGAGTTTAGACCAATATCTCACACCATATATCAAGATAACTTCCAAATTGACACATGACTTAGATATAAAAGATCACATCATAAACAAGTTAGAGGAACAAGGAAGATATTATATTTCAAATCTTTGACTGGAGGAAGATTTCATGAACAAACAAGGGATAGGGAGAGTAAGAAAAAATAAGATAAAATGTAGAATTTTTATAACACAAAAATTTTAAATATTTTCTATAAACAAAACCAATTCAGTTAAAATTAGGAGGAACATAGTTACCTGAGGAAAGGACATCTCTGCAGCAAGGTTCTCTGACAAAGGTTTTATATCTAAAACATGTAAGGCATTTACTAAAATTTATAAGAACAAGAGCCATTCCTCAATTAATAAATGACCAAAGAATATGAACAGGTAGTTTTCAAAGGAAGAAATTGAAGCCTTTAATAGCCATATGAAAAATTCCAAATAATTAATCCAAAAATCCAAATAATTAATAAGTAAATGTGAATTAAAGCCATTCCCAAGTTCTACCTCATACCCACCACATTAGCAAAGTAGGCAAAAAAAAAAAAGAAAATGACAGATGTTGGATGAGCTGTGGAAAAACAAGCATCTCAATGCACTATTGGTGGACCTTGAATTGATTCATCCATTCTAGTGAGTTATTTGGAACCATGGCTCCAGAGTCACTAAACTGTATATAAACTTTTCCCATTACTAGTTCTGTACCTCAAAAA